TCCTGTGGTGCCCAAAACTGCCCCCAGTCCTCACAGTAACTTTAACATAACACCATAGTGTCTGTTAAAACGGGATCTAAGCAGTTAATAGTCAATGAACTGCAACATGTAGGGCAAGATGAGCCTGGCACGTACCTTTTCTAAAACCATGCCCCAGAAGAAAGTTCAACCAAAGGACACCCATGAGAGACCCTCTAAAGACCTCCTGAGACTGCCACAGAAGACCCCAAGAGACTGAGTGCGCGTGCGTAATCAATATGCAAATATGATAATAAGGTCCAGGAAATTGTCTGAATATTCCAAGAAGTGTAATGCATCTGTATGTAACCTGAGAATCAAACGAGGAGCTATCCTCCTGCAAGCGGTGTGCTTGCTTTGAGGTACAAACCTCCGTGCTCCTGGCGCTGTGAATAATGAACGCTTGCTTTCTAAAATTCCAAAATGATGTTACATGATATGGAATATCCCACTGGCATATCCAAATTTAGCTTAATTTAAATATTCCTCACCCCCGCCTCCCAGATCTTGCACTTGATGGCTAACAAAACACGAAGTCCTTCAACTTCCAGCGATAAAGGAAAACATTGGTATATTATCAACATTTTTCTCCTAACAAATCCCAGCTGAAACCAAACCCCAGCGCTGTTCTAGCTACTGAAAAGAAACCCAGCTCTGTCTCAGCTCAAAACCAGGACATGGGAGGCTACTGCAATGCCTCTTTCACCAGTTTCTGAAAAGCAAATGCTACTCGAGGTTCTGAAGTTCCCAACTGGGTACCAACGCACCGAGCTGCCATTGCATTTGTCACCCTAACTTATCTCTTGACGTTGGATTAGCAGCTGTTCCTGCTATTTCAAAAGCAACTGCTGGGCTTTCCACGCTTTCTATTTTTTCTAAGTAAAAAACAGATTTTAGTATTTCCTTCCTTGTATCGTAGCTAAATCCGGTTGCTGGTTAACTATACTGAATAGCCTTAATTTACTTCACCCTGTATTTAACTTTTCTTCACTCATTTAGTAGATGCATAGCAGATAAAATGACACCTATTTGCTCAAGTTGTTTGTCCTTAGTGTGATTTCCTATTACATTTTACTGTTTTGTCCAAATTCAAGATGCTTTCATGAAGATATTTAAGCACATTTTTTTGGTTGAAATAGAAAGCTTCATAGTATGCTTTAAGAAAGGCTTTGATTTTTGTTAAAATTCTGCAAGAATAAAAAATATTTCACTTCTAGCTGGCAACAAAAGAACAATTAAGAATGGCCCGTGTCCTTATTTTAAAACAAATATGCCTTTACATTTAAATTTCTCTGACTCAGCAGACTGAGAATCACTTCCAGTCCCCAAAAGTGCAGTGCATCACCTAAGAACAGAGGGTGACATCATCAGTCATGAAACCATTTATTTATTTTTATTAGAGGCAACCATCTGGAATAATTATTTTTACAAACTCATCAAGTTCCATCTGAAAATGTCTTCTGTTGTCCTTACAACTAAAAGAAATGAAGTTTACAAACGCTTCTAAAAATTGCCTTCAGTGAATTCGTATCCTCCTTAAACTGGGCTCCTTTCAACGTTGTGCAACATACTTGAACAATTCTTCTCCATCAGATTTAACTTTCAGAGTCTCATCTGATACCTAGGCTTACAATTCTTTTTATCATTTTTATTTCCTCTTTGTACCCCTTCTTTTGAATTCTTCTACAAATAAATGATCAGAATTGCACAGTAAAGCAGGTAAAAATTCCTCCACGCTTGTGTAATAGTGTTCATATTTCTCAGAAATGCTTTTTTTAATTCATATCAGGCTGACATTCTTCTTTCTCACAACTCTAATCAGGTGGTTAGCTCAAACATGCTAAGATGCTAAGGGCCTACAAGAAAGCTGGGGAGGGACTTTTTATAAGGGCAGTTAACGATAGAAAAAGGGGAAATGGCTTTAAGCTGGAAGAGGGGAGGTTTAGATTAGATATTAGGAAGAAATTCTTCACTGTGAGAGTGGTCAGACACTGGAACAGGTTGCCCAGAGAAGCTGTGGCTGTTCCTCCCTGGAAGTGTTCAAAGCCAGGTTGGACGAGGCTTTGAGCAACCTGGTCTAGTGGAAGGTGTCCCTGCTGATGGCAGAGGGTTTGGAACTGGATGAGCTTTAAGGTCCCTTCCAACCAAAACCATTCTGTGATTCTAACATCTGAATCACTCATTCCCAAATGGTGACTTCCCAGGTCACAGCAAAAACATCTATAGCCACCAGGGTTGAGTCACAGATACATACTTGTCTGATTTTAATGCCAAGTACAAAGAACTAGATCACATACTTTTGCTGATATGGCTTTAAATACATGCATCTACTCATGAGTTTCAATCCACTCTTGGAAAATTGTGTTCTGAATCACAGAATGGCTGCAGGGCCCCTGCAGGTCATCTGGTCCAAACTCCTGCTCAAGCAGGGCCACCCAGAGCTGGCTGCCCAGGACCCATGTCCAGATGGCTTCTGAGTATCTCCAAAGAGGGAGACTCCATCACTTCTCTAGACAACCTTTTCCAAACCATGCCCTACGTTACCAGAAACCCTCTGCAAGATATTATCTATATTTATAAAGAAAAGCATATATTTGAGAACAGTAAAAAAGCAGTATTAGTTTTGTGTTTACATTCTCTAAATTAAGCTATAGGTTGACTCTGCTGCTTCATGGACTAAACTCTAACATCAGGGGACAGTTAGCACCAGCCCTTTGCCATTGTTTTTCCTCACACAAGAGGGTAACACTGCTGTTACCAACACCACTGAACACACTACAGTCAGTGATGTCCACGTGGAGTGTCTGGCACCACCTAACTCTGTAAAACTCGCAAAGATTTGTCTAGATTTGAATACAAAGTGGAAGAAGCATCCACCTGTCTTCACTGTACCGGGTAACAACTGCTTTTTGTCACAAGTGGTCCTTATACATGGTATTTTAGATGCACATTAAAGCTCTTAAAATAAATTTTACAGTTCAAGAGACTGCTAAGGATTTCAGTGCAACTAAGTATTTGCAACGTCATCAGTAAGTGGTTAAATTAACAGAGTTCTTTGAAAAGTGTGATATTCTCTATTTTAAGAAACAAAACAGCACAGTAACTACCAGCCTGAGAAAAGATAAAACACTTCATACTAGATTAACATTAGACATTTACATAAAATTAATCAATTTGAGGACTCTCAGTATCACAAAATATCCGATTAAGGACAACACCACCACTTCTCTCAGACTACTCAAAGAATTATCAAAACTACAGACAAGGTAACTGCCTAATAAACGTTATATATATATACACACACACACATACAGAAAACATTTTCATATCCCAACTATCCAGTGATGACATTAATCTTTCGTTTCTGGAATTTTGTGAGAACCTGTGAGTAGGAAATGCAATTTTCAGCAGATGGGAGGAATCATTAAGCCTCCAATTACAATTCTCCAATTAAAAGTTTTGACTATAAAATATAATGTGCAATTCCCTCCCTCCCTCCCTTTAAACATTCTGTCAGTTAGACAAGAGATTTTTTTTTTTGTTTTGCTATTTTTTTACAAGAAAATAAGTGGCACAGAATAGCTGTTTAAACTAATGAACACTAGCCAAATCATAACCGACCTCATGGTATTAAAAAGTTACTTGGGCATGAAAAAGTGCCACCGAGGTCTTCCTTAGCACAGTCTGTGCTAGAACTGAAGCTCTCAAAAGAACCTGGAGTGAACCAGTACCCTGAGTTTCACTTTCTGGACCAAAATGCTGGAGGTCTCCATTACCAGCCATCATTCTGGGGAGAGCAGGGGAACATAAAGCAACAAAGAAATTCAAGACATGCAAACTTCTCCAGAACTGAGTGTCAGCTTGTAATTCCCAAGCTTACATTCAAAGCTGATGTTGCCGCTTATGCTTTTCCAAAAGTTTTTTGGTAGGCAGCATCACGTTACACTTTCCACACTTGTACTTTTTGGTGTGTGTTTTCACATGCTTTTGGAAAGCACGCTTATCTACTGTGGAAAACTTACACCTTCTGCAGCGCAACTTTAAATGAGTCAGCAAGTGACGCTTCAGGTGGCTGGATGTGCGGAAAGCACCAGCGCACTGACTGCACTTGAACGGCTTCTCCCCTGTATGAATTCTCAAGTGAGGCTTCAGGTTTCCATTGTGGGTTGTGAAATAGCCACACTCCTCACACGTGTACGTTCTGACAGGTATCTGCTTTTGTTCGTAAAGAAAGTCAGTAGATGAGCTTTCCCCGCAAGAGTGTGAAGCCAGATGCCGTTTCAAGGACAGCCATTTGCTTGTTGCATAATCACATTTCCTGCACTTGAGATGTGATATATTAAAATGTGTGATTCTGTGTCTTTTTAGGTGACTGGAAGTACGAAACTTCTTCTGACAAACACTGCAGCTAAAGGGTTTCTCACCTGTGTGAATTCTTACATGTATTTTAAGGTTGCTTAAAAGATAAGTAGTGTACTCGCACTCTGCACACTGATAGAATTGTGGCTGACTTTGTGCTAACAAATCATATTCTTCGTCCCTCTGGACATCTGGCTGTACTCCACAGACTTCCGAACCAAGCAAGGAATGGACACTGTTTGAACCTTCTGAGGAATCAAAATCTCTTTCTGGACACAAGCCTACATGCATTTCATGATGCAATTCAAGATTCTCTAAATTGCTGTCTACACAGAGGCAATGGCCAAACTTGTATCCATTCTGTGCGTGAATAAGGTTGTGTTTCTGCAAATGGTTTGATGTTTCAAATGTCTTATTACATTCTTTACACACAAATGGTCTTTCATCTGTATGTATTTTCAGGTGCAGCTTGAAGTTGCTATGAACAACAGTAGCATAACTGCAGTGTTGGCACTTGTACGTTTTGGATGTAGATAAATTGGAAGGACACGTGTCCTTTACTTTTTCCACAAATCTATGACGCGCATCATCATCTTCTACTTGTGAGTGAGAGGCCTTGGAGTCGAAGAGAGGTTCCCCTTTGTAAATGACAGTGTCTGTTTTGTATGAATTCAGAGGAACTTCTGATCCATTCTCAGTAACAGGTAAGCTGTTGCTTCCATGGCCGTTCTCAGGGAATTTCTTTCGAAAGCACATTTTCTTATTGCTCTGCACATCACCTGCCCACTCAAAGTTTACTTCTGAAGTCATCATTCCCACATTGAGACAACCATTTTCTTTACCAGAAAAAGACAGAGAAACAGGGTTCTGGGAATCACTGCCAATTTTGCGTATTTTCCTTTTCTGACATTCGTTGCTCTGATTTGTATAACCGTTAGCAGTAGCCTTCAACTGTTCATGAAATTTCTTATGAAAGCTGAGATGTCCTGTAGTGTAAAACACTATGTTACACTCATCACACGTATAATTCTTCAAAGGTCTTTGATTTCTCCCTCTGCCATTTACAAAGTCGAGTTGCTGCCCTTGGCATGTTTCTTTGCCTGCATGTAATCTTCTGTGTCTCTTTAAGGCAGTGGAGCTTGTGAAGGAGGACTGGCAGAACTCACAGGAATATGGTTTAGCCCCTGTGTGTACGTACGTATGCCTTACCATGCTTGCAAAATACAATGAAAAAAAGGTGCAAAACCTGCACTGGTACAGCTTATACCCAGCATGCCAGTACATGTGATTTAACAGATAGGATAAGCTAACGCAGGAGTAATCACATTGAGGACACTGATAAGGTGGTCTCTCTTTATGTCCCTTCATGTGATGAATAAAAATCTTAGGATTTGATGAAGCAAAGAAACAAATTTTGCAGGAAAAACTCACTGGCACATCCAGAGGTGTAAAGTCCCTTTCAATTTTGATGAAAAATTTATCATATTTACTTGCTTTTTTCTTGGTCTCAGATTTTCTTTTCTTAGATCTCCTCTGCCTAACTTTTCTCGCATTTATTCTGTTTTTTCTTGCCTTTTGCAACTTAGTCATTTTTTTATGAAATTTAAGGTGATTTTTAAGGTTGACAGAAAAGAAAAAGGTTCTTTTACAAAAGCAGCATTTATGGATTTTCTTATCTTTATGAGCTGAATAAACATGTTTCTTTAGATGGGCATTGCATTTATACACAGAACTACAAAACCTGCACTTCAAATTCAATCTTTCATGCTTATTTATAGAACAAGGTGCTTTAGAAAGAGGTTTGATCGTCACACTGTTACTGAGCCATGCTAAACCTTCTTGCTGGCTTTGCAATTCTTCTGGGCTTGCATGAGAAGAAACAACTTTTTGTTGCTGATATCGTTTTTTAGGAAATGATGTTAATGTCTTATAAATATGCTCTCCAGTAGTATCTGATTCAGCAGAAGTGGAAGCATTCATCTCCAGCTTCCCTACATCTTTTAGCAATTCTTCTGAAGTAGAAGAACATCCATTAAGAAATGGAGCAGAACAATTGTCAGTAAATTCTAGTTCTTCTTTCAAGCCATGTTCCAAAAGAGAACTCAGAGTTTCACCTTCAAATTTGCTTCTCTTTCTTCTTCTGTTACTAGCTTCATTGTCTCCATTCTTTGAAGAATCAGGATCTACAGGGGGATATAAAAAGTAACATGGATGACATTACATATCATCAACATTCAGAATTAATTAGTAGCAATAATCCCAAATTGTCTAACAACTTGCTTGCTCTTCACTCCTTTTTGCTTCCTTAATATTTTCCCATCTCCACTCCTTTCCTAATCACTCTATGCTCCCCCTGCAACATTTAAATATTTTAAGAGAAGAAATTCTAGTTAGGAGCCTCCTTCTTTCCATTTCCTCTTTTCACTCAAAGCTCTGAATTTCACAGGACAACACTGCATCCCCTACAGTTTTTAATGAAACAGCTTTATCACAGAATCACAGAATGGTTTGGGTTGGAAAAGACCTTAAAGATCATCCAGTTCCAACCCCAATGCTGTGGACAGGGTTGTCAACCACTAGGTCAGGCTGCCCAGGGCCCCATCCAGCCTGGCCTTGAACACCTCCAGGGATGGTGCATCCACAGCTTCTTTGGGCAACCTGTTCCAGTGCCTCACCACCCTCTGGGCGAAAAATTTCCTCCTAGAACCCAACCTAAATCTCCCCTCTCTTAGTTTAAAACCATTTCCCTTGTCCTATCACTACCTGCCCATGTAAAAAGTGCCAGAATTCCTATGAAAGTACTGTCACCGAACTTTGGTAGGGCTCCATTCTCACAAGTATGATGCTCCTTCTACTTTTTTTATTTTCCAATCCTTTTCCCTAATGGAAGGCTGCCCTTCTGCAAAGCGCAGCAGAATGAAACAGCACCAATTTATTGCAGTTTCACTACTTTTCATAGGAATCTGTGAAAGAACTGGAATAAGCTGGCCAGAGAGGTTGTAGAACATCTCTGGAGATGTTCAAAACCCACCTGGACACTTTCCTGTGCAACCTGTTGTAGGGAACCTGCTTTGGTAGGGGGGTTGGACTGGATGATCTCCTGAGGTCCCTTCCAACCCCAACCATTCTGTGATTCTTTGAACTAAGCATACTCCAACCAATATTCTCTTTCTGCTGCATATGATAATGACCTATGTTGAAATGCTCATTCTAAAATAAACGAGTCTGGCATTCTTCCTGTACACTTTCCTGCCTATTTCAAATACTACAGATTTTCCAGATTTCTTAAAACTCTTGCACTAGTATGATGAACAAGTTACCTTCCACTGCAACAACTGCCTCCATCTCCTTGTGGATTTCTGGTTGTTTCTCTTGAGTGCCATCAGAAAGAACACTTGCAATGTTGACAACTTCCTCTTCATTTTTGGGTATCACTGCCAATGTCAACTGCGTGCTTGTCTTGATGATGTCAGCTGCATCAGCAGAGGAGAGGAGAGGAGGAATCTTCTGAAAGCCATCACCACCATCACATTCTTTGCTGTCACTGGTTTCGTTTATCTCTGTAAGCTCTGTTGCGCAAGACGATGTAGGCAACACACAATTTTGACTGTATTTATCTGTGTTTGCATCACACCAGTCACTTAAAGATGATTTTGCTCTGTCACACCCACTCTCAGCAACACATTCTTCTTCAGGGTATTTCGTACTATTATCCTCATGTGAAGCAGTCTTGTTTTCTTCCCAAATGCCCGGATTATTACCAACATCTGACGGTGCAACGCTGCTTTTTAGGAAATCACTGTTGTTTAAGTCACCCCCCTGCTCATCCTCCTCCTTCAGCTGGGGAACTGAGGCTGCTTCCTCCTCAGCCTCATCCTGGAGAAAATCATCATCGCTCAGCACAAGGACAGTGATGGGGAGAACGATTTCGAAGACGTCGGGCTCTGCGGGGAGAACACCGGAGCGTTAACGCCATTGACCACATACCTGAAGCCATCGCGGCACACCGGCCCCCGCGCC